GAAAGACAGAGAGAGACAGAGAGACAGAAAGCGAGAAATCACCCCCAGGGGGGATGGCCATGCTGCAATCCTTCTCCTCCATTCCCTTCTTGGGATCTTGGGCATACATGCACACGCGCCTGGCGTGAGTTTAAGCCACCAGGTCCGGGACTTGAACCGCGGTCAGCTGCATGGGAGTTCAGCAACATAGCCATTACATTAACTGCTGGTCCCAGTAAAAACTAAATCCTACATAAAAAAATTTTTATGTAATCCTTATATTAGCCTTTAAGTTATTTTATTATTATCACTAAATGGCATATCTAACTGCTATAGTTTACTGCTCTATTCTGGTTTTTGTTTCAGTGTCAACAGACAGTAAGTTAGTCCTTTTTCATCCAACTAAGGTGCTTAAAAACATTAAATTTTCATTTTCTGCTGACAGTTAACTCAAGTATTTATGCTTTTTATGATATTTAACAAGGTTTCTCAAAAATCAAATTCTAAATTAAATTATTTTACCTCAAAATAACTTTTGGATGTTTATAAAGAGACCTTAAAACATCCAAAAGAAAAATATCAAAATATTCAGACTTATTTTACTATGCTAAATAATATAAACATATTGTCAAATTAAATAATTTTAATTTTCTTTACATTAGAATTAAATTATATGTATAAACACTTTATATATTTTAATATATTCATTACATTATATTTAAATGTATATGTATAAATGTTTTATATATATTTATTACATATACTGTATTCCAAAATAAATTGAAATTCCCCCAAATCTATAATGCAATATTTATCAGTCATATTATAAATTATTGTATTAAATTAGTATATGTTACAAATATTGCCAAATTTCTTTTTCAATAATAAACTCTTGTCAAATCTTTAATTAATTCAAATCTTATTGTCTAATAATCTAATCATTGAAATAAATAAAAATTTCCAGCTTCTATTAAAAAACTAATTAGTTTGGGGACTAGCAGATGGCATGGTGGGTGAGGTGCTGGATATTTCCACATGGCTGACCATGGTTCGAGTCCTGGACCTGGTGGCTTGCTTTCTCATTTTCCCTCTTTCTCTCTCTTTGTGTCTCTCTCTGGTCAAATTAAAATAAAATGAATGAATAAATAAAATAAATTATTAAAAAATAAACCAACCCCCCCCAAAAAGAAAAGTAATTAGTTTTTTTTTTTTTTTATAGACCACAGATTAGTTTATTTTTAACACCCATCATGCCATGAATTCTTAGGGAATAGGTTGCAGTAGCTCAGGCTCCTTTCCATTGGTTCTCACAAAGTGTGCTTCTCTGGGTGGAGCAGGCTGGCACTTTAGTTGAACCCAGGTCCCTTTCTCTTTGGCTTCTTTCTTTTTCTGGTCATTTTCCTTCACACGTTTTAGGAAGCTATCTCTGCTCTTAGAATGTTTGATATGCTCAATACGCACATGGATTCTCTTGGCAAGAATCTTGCCCTTAACTTGTTTGTTCACAACAATGCCAACAGCATGCTGGGTAACATTGTAGACTCTTCCAGTTCTGCCATGGTAACATTTGTGGGGCATTCCCTTTTGAACAGTACCCATTCCCTTAATGTCTACAATATCACCTTTCTTGTAGATTCGCATATATGTTGCCAAAGGAACAACTCCATGTTTTCTAAAAGGCCTAGAGAACATATATCGGTTGCCTCTCCTCTCTCCCTTTGTGTTCGTCATTTTGGTTAATTACTGGAAGATGGCGGTTCTGGCCAAAAGGCCTGCTAATTAGTTTTCTAAACTACTAAGTCAATCAATAAGTAAAGCCAAAATTAACCAAAAGCAAAACACTATTTTGACAAAATTATATGCTAAGTCAGCCAATAACAAACTTATTAAACTATATATCACTTCCTGACCCACTAAGATCAAATATAAATTCCATAAAATTAATCTAAGTCAAATTACCTGTGACAGTCTATTTAATAAGCAATACTATACATCTAAATTAAAAAAATAAAATTAGTATAAAAATATAAATCCAATATTAAACATAAACTCATAAAAAGCCTGTAGACAGCTGCCTCATTCTTCCTAAGTCCTCTTTATAACTAATTATTTAAAACCTCTATACTCCATAAGTCACAAAATTAAAAAAATTTAACAAC